AAATGTAAGTAATGGCATGAGACAATTTATATAAAAAAATATAAAATGAATTTAATTTGCTGTGTAAACTTTCATCTGGAACATAGTAATTATTATTTTTAAAATACTGGCTGCGCCAGTTTGAACTTGGCGGGCCAGATGTGGGCGGCGGGGCGGCCTTGGGCTTCTTCTTTCCCTTCGCCCGCCCCGCTCCGCAAGGACCGCAGGGCCGGGTCTCCGCACTCCTCAGGCACCTTCTCCGTCCTCATGGCGGGCACTCGGGGGCAGGGGCTGGAGATGGTGGCGCTGTCTGTGTGCTCCCCGCCGCTGCCGCCGCCGAGCTGCAGCAATTCCACCCTGTCGCTGTTGTCTCCCCTCGGCCACCAGAGCTTCCAGGATGACGGTGCCGAGGAGGATGTGGCTGCAGAAGTTCAGGACTCAGAGGCCAAGGTGGTGAGCCTGAAAGGGCTGAAGTTGCAGGGGTGCTCCAGGTAAACCCGAAGCTCCCGGCCGGCGCAGCCTCAGCCCCACTAAGTGCCTTCCTCTGCTGGCCAGACACATTCCCGTTTTCCTCGCAGCCTGGGGTTTCCATGTGATGCCTAAGCAGCAAAGCCTTGGGTCAGTTCTTTGCATTGCCACCATTAAGAATCTAACGTGATTCGTATCCCTCTTTCTGGAGTCTGTGATGATTGTTAGTCTCGCTCCAGAGAAAGGCTATTGTTTAAGGAGTTTAATTGCCCCCCAAAAGCCAGAATGTGCGCTCTTGTTCAAAACCCCTAACACCAAAATGTGGTGATTTTGAAAAAGTGACACATTTCTAGTATGTGGTAGGCAGTACGCTTAATCAAAGATAAAAGACCTTAATTGTCAAGCGCTAAAACAGTGGTCAAAGTTATCAACCTTAGAATCCAGAGTCAGAGTTGGGTTTGATCTGAACACATCCATACAGTAGGATTGAAGTAAATGAATCCAAAAATGCTAGAAACAAAGGAATTACTAAGGCTGTATTAAATTGTTTATTTCTGCAATGATTTAACAAACATTTATTTTGTACCACACACACTCATGGTCTCTACTCTCAGGGGATTAAATCCTTGGACAGTCTACTCATTTTACAGATAACAAAACCAATTAAGAATACAATTAGCCTGATTCAAAGGTATACACCGTGTTATTTCTAGAGCTAGTACCAAGGTACACCAAGATAGTCTCTTCTGTATGCTACATGTATACAGGAGGTACCGAAACAAAGAGCAAAGAGCCTATCCCTTCAGGCATATCTTTATTTAGAAACTGGCCTAATTTAGCTCCATTTTGGAGTAGGCTCAATACATTTGTTCTAAGTTTCTATTGGTCAAACTTTACAAAGCCCTTTACAGGCTTAACAACAACTGAAGAAAAAGTACTTAATGTATGGAGGAGTAAGGTAGTCCCTTTGAATGTATTTCATTTGGACCCACTGTTGAGAGATGGAAGATGGAACTACATGAAGAGAACAATACACATGGTTTTCAGACTGAGCCTTTTAAAAAGAGAAAATTCAGCGTGTGATTGGAATGTAGATCAAACACAGTAACCAAGCAAATCACCTTTCTGTGCTGTCCTCCATCAACCTGATAATAGAACTTACAGTAGAATTAGATTTTAGGTGTCCATTTCATCAAGGCCTTTAAAGAAATTCTTTGGGACTGAATACTAAAGGTTTGCTTTTTGAAATAAGTTTTTTTTTTTTTTTTTAAAGGATTTTAGAAAACACCTTCGAAGTATAAACAGGATTAAGTAATGCAAAGGAGTGAATGGTCATCAACACTACAGTTCTCAGTTCCTAAGACTGCATCACACAGGAGCCCAAACTCTGACCAAATGAAACCTTCCAGGGTACCTAGCACGTCTCACATTGTCAAAAGCCAGGATGAGCTGTAGAAATAAGGCTGCCTTAAAAAAAAAAAAATCACAGTCCAGTCCCTATGAATCAAAAGGGGATGGTAGGATATGAGTCCAAGGAAAATGCAGGATTTGTTAGACCCTGTGTATGACACGCATTAGCACATATCAGGTGCTCAATGTAAACCTAGGATGTTGCCTTCCATGTGGGAGATCTGAGTTTAATTCCTGACCAGTGCACTTGCTGCAGTGCCGCCACCCATCTGGTCTCTCAGGGGAGGCTCCTCTGTTGCCATGACCATGAGCAGGTTTCAATGGAGCTACCTACCAGACTAAAACAGACTAGAGAGACCTGGGAATTTACTTCTAAAAAATCCATGAATTTTCTGGTGGCTTACAGTCAGAAACATGTTGCACTGTTTTACATAGGTGTCATGAGCAGGGGGGTCAACAGGGACAGTGGCTCAATAAGATAAGGAAACAGGTGATCAGCTTGATAAAAGTGATAGAAGTGGCATTGACATGACTGGGTGATTATATGACTGGAAGGGGAGAAGGAGGAGTCAGATCTGCCTAATTTTCTGGTTCTGGTAAGTGAGTAGATGGGTGGGACCTACCTATCCCTGAGGTAGGATTATAAAAGGAGGAGCACATTTTCCTAAAGGGGCAAGTGATAAGTGGGTGGTGGAAGATGAATGATCATGCTTCAGACTGATTGAGTTTGAACCTTAGTGGAGCTGACTCTCAGGTGGTCTGGAGTTCAGGGAAGTCTGGCTGAAATTACTTGCCTACGCATATTTAGCATGCATTGATCGTTGAAACAATGAATTCATTAGGGTGATGTGGATCACACCAGCTGACACTGTCAGAAAGGGTGACATCAAAGTAACTTGATAAAAAATTTTGTGCAGTATTATAGCAGAAATATATTTTTTAATAAACATATAACTTGCTAGGTATAACAGCAAAAATCTTTTTTTTTCAAAAATCATTTTTTATGTGTCTGGCAAACATCAAGGCTGAAAGACATGAGGAATGTATGCCTTTTTTTCTACTTTATGTTTTTATTTTTCAACTTTTTAAATTTAAAGACACTAGTTATTAAATCTTAAATGAGCCAAGGACAGGATAACTACAAAGACATACCATCCAGCTGAGGGAGACCATTAGTCTGAGGTCATAATGGTGTTCAACAAGTTTACCCTTTGAACCTTCTAAAGGGCTTAGGTCAGAGCTGTCATTGTTACCTAACAACAAGTACACTTCAAATCACAGAGCTGTGTCTGCATCTCTACTGTTGTTTTTATGACCACTGGTTTTGTCACTTTCTAGTTTTAGCTATAAATTTGTAGCAATTATACATGAACCCCTATCAATTCTTTGAGAATCAAGTAGTTAAAAAAATGTTAAAGCCTTTCAATTATTAATAATGTAATAGTGTTACAAGTTTGTTGTTAGTCATCATATAATTAAGAAACACTGCCTTTATGCCATTTTTAACTATCACAGTATTCTATGCGTGAAATTGAAAATAAACATTCCTGAGGATTTGGTGTGACCTGGTACAAGAGGAGGTCCAAGGTGGTGGTGAGGTGACATCATGAGTTACCACTGTGTGATACTAAGCCTAGTGCTACACCACTGAATACTTGTTCCACAAGGGCATGCACGAACGAGGGAAGAAATTTAGCAACTTCAACAAGCAAAAAGGATGGACTGAGTTAAAGCTATGTGTTAGAGGAAAGTTGTGCTTAGCAGTCCGTGAGGAGTTAATTGTTAAAAGCAAAAATGGTAAAAGAGAGGGACAGCCAGACTTCTAGACTCATCTGCTTTGGGTCCTGAACAACTGCTTCCTGTGTGTGCTGATTGCTAGACTTCTCTTAAGTATTGTGAGATTTGTGTATCTGGTCAAGTATATAGGTCCTTACCTAACTTTCTCTCCCTTCTTCTCTTTAGCTTGCATCAGTAGTTACTTCTGGGTATGCCCAGAAGAGAAAGACTTAACAGGAGGTACGTGGTGGAGATGGGACTATAGTAGGAAGTAACCAGACTATATAACAATCTAGCGAGAGGGAGTCAATGGAAATATTTTAGAAGGGCCATTTTAGTTTTGTTAGTTTTCAGAACAACTTCAAACTGAAAGAAAAATGGAAGGGATTATCCTTTTGTTCACCCGTTCCCCGAGTCCCTAATTGCTAACAGATTTGTTTTATTCTCTTTGTGTATATACATGTTCATTTGTTTTGTTTTCCCCGTGAATCATTTAGGAGTAAGTTACAGACACAATGCCCTTTTATTTCTAAACACTCCAGGCTGTGTTTCTTGTACACGACTGCAGTATAATTATCAAAATCAGGGGAAACATTGTCATATACCTTTATCTAATCTTCACACATTGTTCCGGCTTTGCCAGTTGTCCAGTAATGTCACCGGAGGCAGGAGGGACTGAAGGGAGAAGGAAGTGAAGGTGACCAGGATCTGCTTAGGGTCATGCAGTTTCATTCCACTGTAGTTTCTGTAGCTGCCCTGTGTGTGTCAGACAGTGTGGCTTTTAAAACTGTAGAGTTCTTGATGGCTGGGTTTTTTTTTTTGGGAAGTAGGTCACCAGGCCTGTCTTCTGAGGTGCCTCTGGGTAGACTTGAGCCTTCAACCTTTCAGATAGGAGTTTAGCATGTTACCAATTTATACCCTCCAAGGAGACTGTATTGTAATAGGTTTCCAAATAAAATAGTTTTTGTAAGGGAAAAAGTGTTAGTGTTGAGTCTAATGGACCTAGATGTAGGACATCCCAGTGGATTTTTAAATAATGTATTTTTTAGGGGATGAAGGTATTTGAAAACAGTTTAATAAGTAAACTAATGCCAAATTGGTCTTTTCATGATTTTTAAAATATACTTATGTATAATTGCATAAGAGGGAACTTTATGAAGCTTGTGGAAAAATTGAATTAAAATACGCAATTTCCCCATGAACTTAAAGCTCCTTCATATAAATCACATATGTTTACATATAAATTACAACATTACTTACAAATCACACTATCATAAAGACATGATTACTGCTTTTACTTTTAGCAAAATGCTTTTGCCTAGTAAGGCAAAGAGTTTTATGTACAATGCTACACTCTGCTCTCTCTGTACCAGTGCGGTTGAATCAGAAGATACCCAAGAAGAACAGAAACAGGTGCACTTACCAGAGAGCAGCCTGACACCATGGGAAGTATGGTTTGTTGGCAAAGAAAAGGAAGAACGTGACCGTCTGCAACAGAAAGCTCTAGAGGTAAAACTAGACGGTTTTCTTTTCATTTAATCTTTAATCTGGGAGCTCACAAAGTAGAGCTGCTCTTGAAATGAATACATTAACGTGTCTTCTAAAGCAGTTGTTCGTATTTGCTGTTTCAATTTACTGTGCCAATATGAGTCATTCTGTTATAAATTCATATATACTTTAAGAACATTTGAAAAATATAGGTAAGCATACTAAAGAGAATTAAAAGCTCTATTTTTACCACCTGAAGGAAATCACTGTTAATATGACAGTGTATATAGCCTTCCATATAAATCACATACATATGTTTACATATAAATCACAATATTACTTTCAGATCACACTTTCGTAAAGACATGATTACTGCTATCATAAAGACATATATTTTTTTCATTTAAATATAAAATAAAAAATAAAAATAAAAACGTGAAAAAAAATATATGCATAAGAAATTACATAGAGAGATACAATGGAGTTTGATCATATGTAAATCTAACTAAGATTGAGTTGAAATCAGGAAATGGCTTTTGTGCAAGGTGAAATGCACTCAGTAAACATTTTAAGGAGAGATCTAGACAAAAATTGAAATAGAGATAAGACCCTACCCCTTTATCATTCAAAGATCTCTAGGTGAACAGGTGCTGGGAAATGGGAATAGGCGGGTTTTCCAGGGTGTTTTCATTGTTCTCTGCCTCTGTGCCTTGCGATAGACTTCTGGGTGTGTCATTTCAGTGTTTACAATGTATATAGCGTATGTGTATGTGTGTAGGCAATATGAATCTGCAACAAAATTCAGCTACTGAAACAATTTCAGGAAAGAGATCTGATAGAGTTTTCACAGATATTTTGAGTACAGACAACTTTTGACTTGTGTATAGACTTAAAAACCAAACTTCTGTGTAAGATGCAACACCCTTGAATGACTGTGGGGTGTTTGTGGCTTGTGATTGCTGTCTGTCATTGTCTTGAGTTCTCACTGAGCAAAACGACAACAGTTTTAGATACATTTTAACATGTATCCCTCTTTAAGCTCTCACTAATTGCTCTCTACCATTTGGCAGCCAAATAGACTTAGATAGTTATTATCTATAGTTTGGCATCTCTCATTATCTCTGAATTCTGTATCCAAACACAGGAAATGAATGGACTTGGATTGGGAAGGATAATTATTATTATTATTTTTTTTTTTTTTAATTTTCTTTCCTGCCTCCACCCCTCCCCACCCCACCCCCCAGGATACTTCTTTTTGATAAAATAACATGATACTCTTGTTAACGCCTTTTTGCAAGTTGTATTGTTTTTTTAACTTCTATATCATTATATATTTTTGTATCATTCTAACTAGCTGTCAAATATTTTATTAAAATATATTTTAAATACATAAAATTCATATATTAAAAGGTATATAGCCAGTTCTGTATATGGTGGATATTTAAGTTCATTCATACCTATTGGTAACTGTGTTTCCTTGGAACTAAAGGTTTGATAATATCCATGATTTTCTTGTAATAAATTTATGTTTTGAACTGGTTGTTTACTTTTCTGATGGATAGCTAATGAGGTGGTCAATCACATGTTGAGGCTTGATTTGATTCAAATGATTGTGGAAACTAGTCTATTATGCCATATCTCTGTTTTATGGGTCTTTGCTATCCAGAATATAAATTGATTTCTGGGAAAATGCACTATGAGATACACCTTTTTCTTAGGAGGACACAGGGTGTGTTGTTTTGATGGTCTGTAATGTACCTCTCTACTTTCTAATATCCATTGCAATGACAATGCACAACTCACAGACAAAATTCACGATTACAGGGTTTTTATTAAGGAAGTTAACAGGTTGTAAGGCCAGTGGGAAATGCTCAGGGTTGCGTTTTTATCAGGACAAATTACAGAGTTTCAGGTCTGCTAGTAAATGCCCAAAAGGAGCATGCCATTTTGCTGTAAGCCTCAACCTGGAAGTAGTTAGCTCAAACTCTGTGGGTCAGCAAGTTCAACTTCCCCAATTAAGTGCCCAGAGACACCCCACTCTAAAAGCCAACCTCCTGAACAAAAACATCTTAACTTGCTCTCTGAGTTGATTAGTCCATCCTCTGTTTTGTGCTTTGGCTCCTGGTTCTGCTGCTCCTCCTTGGGTGGCATAGGTGTCATCTGGATCCAAAGGTTCACTGTTCAGGGATCTTGGTTCCAGAGGGCTCAATCTAATCCTGGATCTTGCTGGTAATAAGATTCCTATTCCTGCTTCTCAGAAGGCACACTTTGTACACAGCAGGTTGGTACTCCATCCAGGGAATCCTGTTCACAATTGAATCCTATCAGTGTCTTCCACCATCTTCTTAACGACCCATGCCAGGAAAGGTAATGTGGAAGTTAGAGACTAGCTCAGTGATTCTCAACCTGCCTAATGCCACAACCCTTTAATACAGTTCCTCGTGTGGTGACTCCCTAACCATAAAATTATTTTCATTGCTACTTCATTACTGTCATTTTGCTACTATTATGAATCTGGCGACCTCTGTGAAGGGGTCAGGACCCATGGGTTGAGAACCGCTGCCTTAGCTAAAAGAACCACATTAAATAATTCACTGCCCGTGCACAGGGCTTGAGCAAGCTTTGGTGTCAGGCTGCTTATTACAAAGCTGTATTCAAACTTATTTTGATACTAGGTAAGTTACTTAAGCTTTTCAGCTTCAATTTCATTATCTGTACAAGAAGGACAAAATAATACCTATACCACAGTCTTGTGAGGGTTGAATGTGACAAAATGTAAAGTTGACTGGTTCTGGTTTTATAAATATTTTAATATCACTGATATCTGTAGCCTTCTTAAAGCCTTTTTCATTTATTTTCAGAATTAGGTTTTGTCATTGGGACCACAGACTCTTAGACCTCAACCTCAGTGTTACCATGACCAATTATATAATTTGCTGCTGTGACTTTCAGAATATTTGCTTTCAGTGAGCAATCTGCTTTGTATCACGTACAAATACGTATGTAAGGGGGCTTCTGAAAGTTTGTGGAGAAATGGACCTACAGATATTAGGGTTTTTCCATGGCATTGTGAAGACCTCTTGTATACATACACAAAAGCATTCATTTCCTTTTATGTGTGTGATGTGTGGTGTTTCTTTTTTTAAGGAGCCCAGGCTTGTCATAGCTGCTTAATTGATTTTACACTCACAATTTGGAAATCATCAATGTATAGGAAAGTAGAATTCAGCTTATTTATGTATTGCTTATATCTAGCCATGTTCTAGTAGTCATTTGTTTTATATATAGATTTACTCAAAAGGAAGATCATTGCAAGTCATTTTTAGAGTCAGTGTATAAAGAAGCTAATTAAGTTACAGAAGTTGTGATGAAATTTACCCCACCCCCACCCTGTGGAGACACAAACAACACCATTCCCTTGTGTGAGTTAGTGCCTTGTTCTCTGCCCCCCTCTCCCCACCCTACCCATGTCTTTTTTTTCTTCCTCCGCCCCCTCATTTTCAGTGGGCTACCATATGCATCCCTTAGTTTAGTCTGGCCCCTGCAATATTACCTGGACCTCATCCCAGGGGCGTATGTATACTGTAGCTTTTTCCCTATCCCCCTTTTGGATTTTTTGAGCTTACCTCAGTGGATTCATGTTGTACTGTCCTTTTGTGCTTGGCTTACTTGACTTGGCATGATTTCCTCCAGTTCTTCCCATGTGGCGATGTGCTTCATGCGTTCATCGCTGCTTTTTAGGGATGCGTAATACTCCATTGTATTTATGTACCACAGTTTTTTAATCAATTCTTCTGTTGATGGAAATTTGGGCTGTTTCCAACTCCTTGCAATTGTGAGCTCTGCTGCGATGAACATTGGGGCACAGATGTCTGGCCGTGGTTTGTTTCTTGTCTCTTCTGGGTATATGCCCAGTAGGGGGATTGCTGGATCATATGGTAGCTCAATTTCCACCTGTTTTAGATATTGCCAAATTGATTTCCATAATGGCTGTACATACCTACAGGTCCACCAGCAGTGGACAAGAGTTCCTATCTCGCTTCATCCCCTCCAACACTTGTTACTTTCTGATTTCTTGAATTGAGCTATCTTTTAGGGTGTTAGGTGGTATCTCATTGTTGTTTTAACTTGCATCCCTCTTATGGCTAGAGATCAGGAACATTTTTCATATATTTATGGGCCATTTGGATTTCTGCCCCTGAGAAACTCCTGCACAGGTCCTTTGCCCACCTCTTGAGTGGACAATTGGTTTTTCTCTTGTTGTAAGTTAGCAGAGTATTGCAGAGTTTAGTAATAAAATCTTTGTCTGATGTATTATAGCAAAGGATGTTTTCCCATTCTGTGGTCTCTCTTATTACTCTCTTGGCGAATTCTTTTGATGTACATACGTGTTTTATCTTTAGTATATCCCACTGGTCAATTTGTGTCTCCTCTATGTTTGTGTCCTTCCTGATTTCCGGTAGCTTATGTATCCCTGTGCCAAGGTTCTCAGGTTTGTCCCAATTCCCTCATTAATGGCCCTAATAGTTTGGGTTTTACCTCAAGGTATGTGATCCACCTTGAGTTTATTCTTGTGCATGGAGTGAGGTAAGGGTCTTGCTTCATTTTTCTGCAGCTATGTATCCATTTTTTCCAGCACCACGTATTGAAGAGGGCATCAGCTTCCCATTTGATAATTTGGGGGGTCTTATCGAAGATCAATTGTCTGTATCTGATGATTTTATTTCTGGGTTTTCAGTCCTTTTCCATTGGTCTGAATATCTATCATTATACCAATACCACACTGTTTTGACCACTGTGGCCTTATAGTAGGTGCTAAAGTCGGGTAAAGCAAGCCCTTGTCCTTCTTCTTGAGGAGTTCTTTACTAATTCTCGGTTTCTTCCCTCTCCATATGAAGTTGGTAATCTGTTTTTTCTTTGAAGAAAGATGCCGGAATTTGGATTGGGATAGCATTGAACTTATATAGTGCCTTTGGTAGGATTGACATCTTTACAATATTGAGTCTACCGATCCACGAGCATGGGATGTTCTTCCATTTGTTGAGGTCGCTCTTGGTTTCTTGTAATAGTGTTCTGTAGTTTTCCTCGTACAGATCTTTTGTTTTTTAAGTCAAGTATATCCCTAAATATTTCAATTTGTGTTTGATTATTGTGAAGGGTACCCCCTTTTTGATCCCCTCTTGTGTGGCCTTGTCTGATGTGTACAATAGTGCGATAGACAGCTGTTTGTTGATCTTGTAACCTGCTACTCTGCCATATTCCTCTATTGCTTCCAGTACTCCTCTCGTGGAACTTTTAGGGTTTTCCATATATAAAATCATATCATCTGTGAATAATGGTAGTTTCACTTCTTCCTTCCCCAGATGAATACTTTTGATGTCCTTTCTTTGCCTTATATTGTTAGCTAGGACCTCCAGTATGATATTAAATAGGAGTGGGGACAATTTTAATGATGATTTTGGGAACTTTTAAAGAAAAGTTCTCTGAGCCTCATGTTTTCATCTATTAGCCAGATAATGGAGGAGAGGCAAGAGTAGAATGGAAACATCAATTCTTGAGCTGTATTTCCTGAGTTTAAAAGGGACTTTGGGCAAAGTACTTAACCTCTCTGTTCCTTGATTTCTTCCTCAGTAAAGGGGAAGAGAATAATGCATTCCTCAGAGTGGTGTGGTGAGGACTAAAAAGAACAGCAGGATTTGGACTAGCACATAGAAAGCATAAAGGAGATCGATAATAGTAGCTGCCTTGAAGATTGTTTGAGAACAGATTAAAATAATATAAAGTTTTAGATACAATGATTAATAAACACATAGCAGGGCATAATTATTTGTAATTTGTGTAAGAGAGAAAAAAACCTTTTCATGTAGCCAGTAGTGTGGCATTTCTTATGGTTAGTTCCTGACTGAGTATTTTATGACATCTCGTTTGTATAAACCATGCGGAGGACATCATAAGCCATTGCTAGGTGCCTTCGAGTCACTTCCAGCTCACAGCCACCCTGCCTGTGTACAGCAGAATGAAACATGCCCGGTTCTGCGCACCAGCTGGATGTAAACGCATTTGGGGCTATTTGCTCTTGGCATCCCTTTCAGGCTTTTCTCTTGGTTTCATTTTCTAAGTCATTTTTTTATCTCTTTCTCTTTATCTATAATATTTCCTGGTTGTTTATAAATCATATCATTAAAAGCACAGAGTTTTGACCATAAAGATAAGTTATGACAGATCCTTATTAAAGATAAAAGGCTCAGGGGCCAAAGAACTGCCAAGATTTTAATTGATGACAGTTCACATTGTACCCCCATTTTTAACTTCCAGTATAAGTACTTTCTCCAGGATAGCAAGATGTATTTTAGAAATAATTGAACCACATTGATATTTTTAAACTTCTTATGTCTTTGTCTTTTTTTTCTTTTACTATTAAAAGGTAAAATTTAAGGGAAAATTTACAGTGTAATTAGATTATTAAAAAGATGAATACTCATATATATATTTGATATCAAACCTTTTTGTGGAATTGAGTGAAAAAATTTTAATCTATCAAAATTCCCCACGTATAAAACATTTTTCATTTGTAACTGTCATTCAGATGATGCAAATGGTAAACACTGAACATTAGTATTAGGAAAAATTGTAATATTGATTAAATTTTATTTATATTTTTACTTATTTTTAAAAAGTTAAGACTCTCCAAAAGTATCTATGCCCTTTGACAAATTCTTATTTTTAACATTTGCTGTAATGTTTTAGTAAAACCTGTTCTAAATTTTAAAAATGACCCAGTTGCTAATTCCAGGTGCTTCTCCCCCCCCCCCCATGATTTTGCCTTTGGCCATTTTATTCATTAGCATTTAGTGAAGAATATGGCAGGATATAGAGTTGATGAAACACAAAACTGTTCCTTTTTGTAACTGTTACATTGAGTGGCAAAAAGTTCTTTGGAAGATACACAGTCACTTTTGGTTTTTCCATGATCACATGTTTGATCTGTGAGAAAATAGCTATAATCCTGCTACAAGCCATTGGTGTGCCAGAAAATAATGAAGGGATGTGGTGGAGGAGAGGTGATAGATTGCTGAAGTCGTTCAGGATAGGAAATTCTGAGAGGGCCAGCCTTTGAAAGAGGGGAAGGTCAGAGCTCAGAATGTATTGTATATTTTGAGTTATCAGTTACTTCAAAAGTTCCCATTTGGCTTACTGCTCCCTTTTCAGGAGGGGGATATATATATAATATAATTGCCATTATTCCTGGGGCTTAAAACTGTTGTAATATAGCCTATAATCCAGTACAAAGGGTAGGTCTCTGCTTTTGCAGACCCCTGTATAACGTTCAGTTTGTTTTGCTTGCTCCTCTCCCCTTCCATCGGCCCCACAAAAAGCTTTATAAGCTTTTTTTTTTTTTTTCATCTAGTTAGTACCATATTCGGATTTGATCAGAGACTTCTGGAAGTTTCTCTTTATACCTCAGTCCTTGCTACTCTTTAGTATTTAGTAAATATCTCTTGAGTGAGTAGTGAGGAGTCCTTGGACCCAAGTAGGGTATTTTGCTCATTTGGAAGACAGTCCAGAGTAAGTGAAAGCAGTTATTCTCCACTGAGGGTGAAAGGTCATGGGAGGCAGATATCCTGGGCCTCATTGTTCTAAAGCGCAAAAGATAGACGAAGAGATTTTAAAATGTCTGTAGAAAAATTCCATGGTTCAATTTTTCATTTAGTTCAATTTTTCTACAGACATTTAGAAGCTCTCTCCCTGCCATATTTTTGTGTGTAGTGTTTTTATTTTCCTTTCTCTGAAAATTGAAAAATCATTCTGCCCACTCTCATTCATCCCTACGTGGGTAAGCCTTAGAGAGGAGTGGGGACTAATGGAAGATTTGTAAAAGTATATGATTGTTAGTTTCTAAGGAGAGCCAATAAAAATAACTAGTAATTATGGCAGTGCAGTCCTAGAAGTCTAGTTTGAACAGCATTCTCAACTAATGCGATAATTTAACTGATGAGTGACAGAGTGGTGGCCTTCAGCTTGTAGTTTTATTTGGCCACATTGTCCACATTCTTTCTTCTTAGGAAACGCCCAAACGTGTAGATTCGAGTGACAGCAAGGCAGTTAAATAATCTGGGATATAAATGTGGTTTTGTTTTAAACTCCAGCAGCTATAAAGTCCGTGAAAAAAATTATTGATATAAATAAATTTTCTTTATTTCCATAAAGATAATTTAATGGCATTTTTATATTTCTTATTTGGTATAACTTCAAATTAAAATTTTAATTTAGGGATTATTTAATTCCTATTTTCTGTCTTCATCAAAAATCTAGAACTTTTTATAACTTAAAAAAAAAATGTTGCATTTCTCTTGAGTTTCTGCCAGAACTGTACAGTGATGCCAAAATTTATGTGTGGGAAAGCTGATTTCAACGAGGGTAATTTAGCCAAAGTTTAGTCTAAGAAACTGGTGTTTTGCTGCCAAGCAATTATTTGTATTTCTGAAAAATGACTTATACTTTTTACCAATGACTTTTCTCTCATCATAAACTAGTTACTTTAAGTAAGTTAATGCCACTAATGGTATGTATTCTACAAAGGAACTGTGTTCTTGTGTGATATGGTTAGCCTCAGCGTTTTTAACAGTATGAAGCATGAGTATTAGTTAATAATTTGTTGCTTTTCTTGAAATAAAATTCATAGGAATTAAATGAACAACTAGAAAAAAGAAAAAAAATGGAAGAACGTGAAAAAAGAAAAATAATTGCTGAAGTGAAGCACAAGGAATGGGTTCAGAAAAAGAATGAACAGGTAAGGAGAAATGACACATAGTGATATTCTTTTGTAAAATTTTTCCATTACCCCTTTATTACCTGGGTTTTTCTGATATCTCTCTTAGAAATGTCTATTCATGGATATTTATCCTATGTTCTGCCTTCTACCTTTAACTTATGTCCATTCTCCCTCACGTGGCTTCCACCAGTTCCTGTCTGCGTGCAGTCTGTTACCAAGTATGTATCGTATCTCTAGACCTGACCTCCTGGAGTCTTGGATCTCTGTTCAGTCCACTGGCCAGTTTGAGTCTGCAAATCTAAAATAGTCCTTTATTGCCCACTCTCCCGCCATATAGTCAATCTTTTAATTCTTTTGTTTCTCTTGTTAATATTGTTTTCTTATTAAATTACCCAAAGATAATAAAAATTCTGTGGTCCATGATCATTTCATATTTTTTCCTTTACCATTACAATTATCTTTGATTTCTGTCTGGTCTCATTGCATCTTTAAGCAGACTTGTTCCGTATTTCCCCATTTTGCAATGTAGGCTCCAGAATAAGAGCAAGAGTATTTGCTTCAGTTGTTCAGTTCCCTGTCCGCTAAGTGGGCATCCAGCACCGAGTAAGCCCAGTTGCCGTCAAGTAGATTCTTACTCGTATTCATTCTAAAGACAGAGAACTCTGTTCCATGTGGTTTCCAAGGCTGTGTTGTAGAATTTATTGTCCCTGGGAGTGGCTCGTGGATGTGAACCCCTGACATTTTGTTTAACAGCCATCTGCTTAACCACTGCACCAACCTTTCATGTATAGTTAATTGCCCCCAAATAGCATTTAAATAATTGAATCTATTCTTCGTATCTTGCTGAAGATATCCCCAAATGAAGAACTACTTTTCATGTTTGTCCACTGTTTTCGGAATAAGATGTTAAAAGCTCTAGTCTGGCTGATTAAAGCCCTGCTCTTTGATCTAAGATTCCACTTCAGCAATGCCTCGCTTTCATTCTTCTCCTCACTTTATATGGTGCTTCTTACTAGGATCCTTTTAGGAGGATAATCACAGCCCATCTTATCTTCTGAAAGTGTTAGTTTTCCTGGACATTTCTGAGAGGAATTTTGTTTTATGTTAAAACAAAGATATAATGGAATAGAATATAATTTTTGTATTTTAAGATACCCAACCAATCTTGAACATTGGGCCATGTTCTCTCACTCCTAGGACTTTCTATTTATAGAGACTTTTGAGAAGAGTTTTGCATTTTATGCTTCTCATTTATGTATTTTTTTAATATGATATTTTATCAGCATGGAACCTGATCATATCATCTACCCTACTTTTCCTTTGACTATCTGAGATAGTTTGTTGTCCCAGCCTGGCCCCGATACACAAGTGGGATTAACTGAAGGGCAGAGAGATAAATGGCTCGGTGAGCCTCGCCTTTCTTTTCTCTTGCTCTTTGATCATTGGATCAGTGTGCGGCTGCCTTGCTTCATCTGTGCCTCAATTTACAGGCTACACTACCTGTGGGACACCTAGCCTGTGAACTGTGTCGCTGTAAGTTGAGGTCCCTTTAAGACATCTCTGGAGCTGGGGACTGGCAGTTGGTGACCAGGCTGACAGTTAGTGACCTGCCTTGTGATTGGCTGCTGTGCTGAGATAGCCTAGCTCTCTCTCTGTATAGAGGAAGACCTGGCAGCAGACGAGACTTGAAGGACTGCTAGTGTCTCACAACTCTCTCACGGGAGTGAGTTGCACTGAGCCATTTTTACTGCTTTATAATTTAACTATTCATTTCTTGTATTATATATCTATCTGTATATAATTTAACAGTTCATTTCTTGTGTTATATATCTATCTTTATAAATAAATATATAAAGTTATCAGCAATCTGATTTATCTCTCTAGAGAACCCTGTCTAACACACTATCCAACTCAAATCATTTCCAGCATATAATACTCCTGATTCTTGTGGCTATTATGTGCTGTTAAATTGATATTGACTCACAACAAAACTGCACCAGAGGGTGTCCAAAGCTGCCATTTTTATGAAAACAGATCACTAGGTATTTTCTTTTCATCTTTTTTGAATATTATGTTTTAGATAAAAATTTACATGAAAAATTAAGTTTTCATTTAAATTAAAATTGTTCTGTGATATCGGTTATAATTTTTGCAGTGTCAGTATTTTCATTATTTCCTTTCTGTTGGTTCTCTTTCCATTTATCTAGTTTCTCTGCCCCTCCTTGCCTTTTCATCTTTGGCTTTGGATAAATATTAACTGATTGGTCTCATATAGTTGATTGTTTTAAGGGAGTAATTTCTGTACTAGAGATACTGTGTATTTTATAAGCCAAAGTATTGTTTGACTGAAAGGTGGTCTCTGGGATTGACTTCAGTTCCAAGTTAAAAGGGTCTCTCAAGGCAGTAGTCTATGGGGTTCTTCTGGTTTCTATCAGTTCAGTAAGTCTGGTGGTTTTTTTAGGAATTTAAATTCTGATGTGTGTTTCTCTCCCATTCTCTCCTAGGACCTTTTATTTTCATTGTATACCTGGTCAGAACCGTTGGCAGTGGTAGCCAGGAGCCATCCAGTTCTTCTGGACTCCAGCTAGTGCAGGCTGTGGTTTGTGTGGGCTAGTAGCCCTGAGTTTCTCTTTGAATGTTTGCTTTCCTATATTCCTTTTTGTCCTAGGGAGGAAGAGACAATAGTTGTATCTTACATGCCACCCCAAGCTTTTAAGATCCAGATACTACTCACCATACAATGTATAGAACAGTACTTTAGGAATCATATTATGCCAATTGGCTAAGTTGTCTAATGAGATCATCAAGTATTTCCTCCCATTGAACAACTAACAGGGTTTTGAACCACCACCTTATGGTTAGCTGCTGAGTGCTTGACCATTGTGTTACTAGGGCTTCTTATTTTGGATTATTTGCCAGGAATTTTCATTCTGTCTTCAAATCTCGTTCAATTTGTATCATTTTTATGATACTTTATCATGTATTGCTTTTGTGTCTTATGCATATATCTTTACTTTCCTTATACTTTAAGACCCTTAAGGACAGGATATTTTTATATTACTTTTTTACTTATTGAAAAGACAGAATAATTCTGTCCATACAGTAAGCACTTATCATTTGAATGAATGAAAGAGCATGCTGTCTTCCTTTTCATTTTCATATATTCCTATATTGAGTCACAAATTTGAAATTTAAAAAATATATGCCCTCGTCAGTTTTCAGTTGTGGGTTTTACATATTTTGATTGGTTATGCTTTTGTTATAATCTAATTGGCTAGATTAAAACAAATGATTTAAATATATGACTGAGTTTAAAATTCCTAAATTATATTTGTCCTTATCTTATTCACAATGGTATTAAAGCATTTTATGTAAATAATGTTAGTAAGTTGAAAATAGCATAGCTGTCTCCCAGATATTTTAAGAACAGTTAAACTTGAAAATTTACAAAACTTGGGCATACATCTTTTGAAAGGTATAACTCTGAAACAAAATAGTATGCTGTCTTCTCTAAAAGCCTCTCTTATCTTCTAAGTCCATTAAGCTAATTTTACCATGCCAATCAAATATAGTTGTTTATCTAAGAATGTGAGGTACTGCTGGGAAATGATATATGCACTGTTTAATTAGTGGCAGTAAACCTAAGCCAATTATCTGAGAAGGAAAAAATGTTCATATTTTGGAGGGAAATGGCTTGCCCTGACATAAATCACTAATTATTATTGGAAGCAAGATTCTGAAAAGTTGAGAATAATTCTCAACTGAGAACTTAAATTTGAGTTGCACCGAGAAATTAAATTTGATCTGTTTTGTAGAACTCTGTGCATGTGCATGTTAAGGAATAATTGATTACTCCCCTCTTTTTCTTTGAAACCTATCAGATTTCTGATTTAAGACTTAGTTACGTTTACCTCTATTTGTAAAGACTGCTCTCCTGGTTCTTCTCTTCCTGTCTGCCATCTAGTTTTTCTTCCTCTGTTTACATTTCTTGGTGTGTGGTCTTACCCTACCGCCTGCTTCATTCACGTTTTAGCTGTATCTATGGCTGTTATTTTCTTCAAGTCATTTTCACTGTGTTTTATAAAAAAAAATTAGACAAAATGAATTTATGAATCCATTAGCAAAGCTGGTTCCTTGTAATATGACTGTAAATTGTTAAGTCCTTTTAAAAATAAATGGCTTATCTCATCTGGTCCTCATACATCTGTGCAGGCTTTCTAATTTCTCCTCCTAGTTTTTTTTACGGTGTGCTTTGAAACATATTGTCAACGGTCTTTTAATGTTTAATTTTACATTAAAAATTGCTTTCTGATTTTTGAAACTTCAGGTCAGCAAGTTGTATGATCAATAAAACTGTCCCCATTCATGCTTTTGACAAATACTTATTTACCTTTTACTATCTGGCAGATACTACTTGAGGAAGGAAAAGAGAGATTCACAAATTTTAAGTTGTCTAGTTGTTTTGTTAGCTTCTTCGCTTCTGGAAACAAAGGCACACCTTTTTAAGAAGAGGAAGAGTTATTTGGTGCTCCATTGGGTGTGATTCCAGAGTGCCAGAAAGCCTGGAGCCACTTGGAAGCTGGTTACTCTCTTTCAGAACTCCTCTTTGCTCAACCTAATCTCCTTTTGCTAACTAAAGACATACTTTTCTCCTCTCTAGTTTAAATTCTACAGAGAATCTTTTTACTTTTTTATCATCTTTTTAATCTTTAGTGTACAGATAACAAAATACACCTATTTTAAGTCTACAGTTTGATGAGGTTTAACAAACTTTCTATACCTGTGTAACCTACACCACAGTCAGGATATCAGACTTTTCCATCGCCCTCAAAATTCATTTGAGGAGCTTTGCAGCCAGCCTCTAGTAACACTGTGCTTCAAGGAAACTGTTAATCAGCCTTGTGTCCCTCTAGATAAAGTTTGCCTTTTTCGAAAAATTTTCCTCTAGGTCTTTGGTGCTTCCTTCACCCCACTATCATGACCTCATTTCTGCCTTACAAAACTGATTAGACCGGAGCATGCACACTGCTACAGATAAGAGCCAGCAACACAGGGAATCCAGGATAGATAAACCCCTCAGGGCCAACAAGGAGAGTAGAGAGAGATACCAGGAGGATTAGGGGAGGGTGGCGGGGAGAAAGGGGAATCGATCACAAGGATCAATCTAGAACTTCTTTCTAGGAGACAGAGGACAATGTAAGGTATGGGAAAAATAATCTATAACTTATGGGTTCATGGGGGAGGGATGATGGGGGAAGGAGGGGGAAGAAATGGGGAGCTGATATCAGGGGCTCAAGTGGAAAGAGAATGCTTTGAAAATGATGATGGCGGCATATGTGTAAATGTGCTTGACACATTGGAGGAATGTATGGATTGTGATGAGATGTAAGAGCTCCCAATAAAAGTATTTTTTAAAAATGTTTATATAAGTAGAATCATGTAATATATACTGATTTTGTGTTGCATTTCTTTTGTTTTTAAAATGAATTCTGTTGTTGAATATATCAACTTTATACCTTTTTCTGCTGAGTAAGATTGTATTCTGTGTATATACACTAATTGCTTACAAATGAATAAAGGAACAAGTTGCTCTACCATTGAGGTTGTTTCCACTTTTAGGGTATTAGGAATAGAAGTTTATGACTACCTATGTACAATTGCTAGTGTCTTTTCATGAACCTTTTCATTGTACTAGGGCAAGTACCGAGGAGCTAAATTACTGGATTACATGATAAATATGTGTTAAACTGTGTGAGAAATTGCCAAACTGTTTTCTAAAGTACTTGTACTACTTTACATTCCCACAATCATTGTATGAAAGTTTTGCTCCATTTGTTCCATCCTTGTCAAGCTTGTATTATTATTCTTTCATTTTAGCCCCTATTGTGAGTATATATATCTAGCAATATATATACATATGTATAAATATATCTATCTATATCTTCTTTTGATTTGCATTTCCCTGAGGTCTGATGATAATTATTTGCTCTTTAAGATCTTATTGGCCATCTCTATATCTTTTTTGTGAAACTTTAGTTCAAGTCTTTTGTCCATTTTTGTAAGGGATCCTGTGTCTTTACATTAAGCTTAATAGCTGTAACAATTCCTTTATATATTTGTTCCAAGTTTTTTTGTGAGATATATTTGGGATAGAACACTCCTATTCATATAATATCTTAACTTTTTTTCATAATACCATATACTTTTATTCATAACACCCTAAGACTAGAAACAACTATATAGCAACTTGTAGCAGAGGAAGCAATTAATGTATATACATAGAATAAATTCCCCCCCAAAAACCAATAGAATCCTAGGAAAAAACCAAAAAACAAAATTTATATATAGCTTTTTCAGTTATATATTCAAATATTTCCTACAAGACTGGCTTCTCATTTAATTAAAAATATTTTTTAAAGTTATATTAACATATAACTCACATATAATCAATAATTTAAACATATTTTAAAAGTTGTACAGTAATCATCATGATCAATTTTAGTTGATTTCCTTTATGTTTATACTAATTATCATTAATGACTCATTTTCTCCAACCTCCCCTGCCATAACCTCAAGAAACTATTAATCCAGTTGCTGTCTCTATCTATAGACTTAGCTATCCTGAGTTTTAATATAGAGAAAAACATACCTCTTCTCCTCTCCAAAAAATAACCCATTAACACCAATAATAAAATTAAACAGAAAAAAACTCATCGAAAAGAAAACATAAAATAATAAAAACTAAAACAAATTTCAAATGGGTCAAAAGGAAGAATAAATGATAAGGGTATTCAAATTTAACCTAACCAACTGCATTAATCCTCTTTCCAGTGCATTCTATTTTATAGCAAGGATATTCAGCCCATGTAATGGTCATTAGTAGGCCACTGGAGATCCCCTTGCAGAGGGGTCTTGGGGAGGAGATGAGCCAGTCAGGGTGCGATGTAACAATGATGAAAAATACAACTTTCCTCTAGTTCCTAAATGTTTCCTCTCCGCTCCCACTATCATGTCTCGAATTCGACTTTGCAAGTCTGGCTAGACCAGAGGATATACACTGGTACAGATAGGAACTGAAAATACAGGGAATCCGGGGCAGATGAGCCCTACAGGACCAGTGGTGTGAGTGGCAAAACAGGGAGGGTAGAGGGAGAATGGGTTGGAAAGAGGGAACCAATTACAAGGAACTATAGTGACCTCCTCCCTGGGAGACGGATAACAGAAAAGTGGGTGAAGGGAGACGTTGGACACGGCAAGATATGACAAAATAACAATTTATAAACTTATCAAGGGCTCATGAGGGAGGGGAAGTGGGGAGGGAGGGGAAAAATGAGGGCCTAATGCCGGGGATTTAAGTGGAGAGAAAATGTTTTGAGAATGATGAGGGCAGTGGATGTACAAATGCACTTTACAAAATTGATGTGTGTATGGATTGTGATAAGAGTTGTATGAGCCCCTAATAAAATGATTTAAAAAAAAATAGAGGCCAATTGGTAGACCAACATTGAACAGGAAATTGCAAATATGTTATATAACGATATTTTATAAGCTCCGATGTACTCTTTAAGAAATAATAAATTTCACTAGATACTGTATATAATGAACATAATTACAAATATTTCAATTTGCTCCTCTTTTTACTTAAGAAAAGAAAAGAAAGAAAACAAAAAGTTAGTAAAGAAATGGAGGAAAAAGCAGCGAAGGAACTAGAGAAAGAGCATTTGCAAGAAAAAGCAAAAGAAAAATATCAAGAATGGCTAAAGAAAAAAAATGCTGAAGAATGTGAAAAGAAGAAGAAAGAAAAGGTACTTTTATTAGGATGGTCCATTAGAATTTTTGACTTTGGTATTTTTATTGACTATAGAAACAAATATGTATTTGGGCTTTTCTTTGGTTGATAATTATTAATAAATGTGTTGATTTTTTTTTTAGTCGGGTTCAAAACGTTTTTGTTACTGCTTTGAAATATTTTTCAATGGACTTATTTTTTTTCTTTAAACCTTTCGTTTTCGATTACATTAAAAAGTTGGTGCACATTTTGTTTTAATTCATCCATTGCAATCCCCTTATCATTTATTCTGCCTTCTCTTTGTATTTACTGCTTCCATTTTTCTAATACATTTTTATGAAAAGACTTATTAGAGTAAAACCTGTGAAAGACGAGAGTCTGTGCAGGGCAGAAACCTGTCAGAGAAGGAAATTTCAAGTGTGGTCCGCTAATGGAGAGTGGTAGAAAAAGGCTGAAAACTTGTAAGACCTGGAAATCCAAGGCCATCTCAATCAGTTCCAGCTCTCATAGGTTTCATAGTAGAGCTCAGTTCTTTAAAAACAGCACATCCCCTTTTCTTTCTTGGGTTGAAGCCCTACTGTTGTTCAGAGGCAGACTCCTTTAGATTCTGACTGTATTGAATCTTATTTTCAAGTTATAGAAATGTGAATAAATATTCATAGCTATTGAGCAACTAGGTTGGGAAACTATTAAGCAAAAAAGAGAACAGTAGATTCTGAATGGAATTTTTATTTACAGAATATACTTGAAAGTTTTTTTTAATCTTGCCATTTAAGGAAAAAGAAAAACAACGGCAAGCTGAATTACAAGAAAAAAAAGAAACAGCAGAAAAAAAGTTTAAAGAATGGTTGGAAAACTCAAAAAACAAACCTCGTCCAGCTGCAAGGAGCTATGGTTATGTCAATGGAAAACTTACAGGTTGGTTTTTATGCAATAGCTTGTGTAAATATGACTTGAAGAAGTAAGTTTGATTTCTGCATGGCAAATATAGAAAAATAACTTTCCTTCAAATTGCTGATTTCTAAAACATTATATGACAGGGCTTCAAAACTTTGTTAGAAAAATGGAATGAAAGAATGAATTTTTTTAACAATTTTTTATTCCCCCATATATATAAAATATAGTATGAAGGTCTAGTCACTGTAAACTTTATTTCCATATATACTCGACTATAAGCCAACCCAAATATCAGCTGAGGCACCTAATTTTACCACAAAAACTGCATTAAAAATGTGCTGGAAAACTTGGCTTATCAGGTGCATAAGCAAATGTGGTGAAGAAAGCTGATGGTGCCCAGCTATCAAAAGATATAATGTCTGGGGTCTTAAAGGCTTGATGGTAAACAAGTGGCCATCTAGCTTAGAAGTAACAAAGCCCACATGGAAGCACACACCAGCCTGTGTGATCACAAGGTGTCGAAGGGATCAGGTATCGGGCATCAAAGAATGAAAAATTGTATCATTGAGAATGAGAGGGAGTGTGGAGTGGGGACCCAAAGCCCATCTATAGACAACTGGACAACCCTTACAGAAGGGTCTTGGGAAGGAGACGAGCCAGTCAGGGTGCAGTGTAGCAACGATGAAACATATAACTTTCCTCTAGTTCTTCAATGCTTCCTCCCCGCTACTATCATGATCCCAGTTCTACTTTACAAATCTGGCTGGACCAGAGGATGTACACTGGTACAGATAGGAACTGGAAACACAGGGAATCCAGGACAGATGATCCCTTCAGGACTAGTGGTGAGAGTGGCAATACTGGGAGGGTGAAGGGAAGGTGGGGTTGAAGTAGGGAACTGATTACAAGGCTCTGCATATAACCCCCTCCCTGGGGGACAGACAGCAGAAAAGTGGGTGAAGGGACATGTCAGAGAGTGTAAGACATGACAAGATAATAATAATTTGTAAATTATCAAGTGTTCATGAGGCAGGGGGCAACATAGAGAGAGGGGAAAAATGAGCTGATACCAAGGGCTCAAGTAGATAGCACATGTTTTGAGAAGGATAGTGGCAACAAATGTGCTTGACACGATGTATGTATGGATTGTGATGAGTTGTATGAGCCTCCAATAAAATGATTTAAAAAAACCCAACAACCTTGGCTTATACTCGAGCATATACAGTAATAGCACGAGATCATTGTCAGATACAATGCCGGAAAATAAGCCCCTCATGTTGGAAGACACTCAAAAATACAGCAGGAGAAAAGCTTCCTCCTTAACGTAGAGTTGACCATATTGGCATGCATGGAATACCGTTTCTGGGACTTCCATTGGGTAAGGGGCATAAATCAAAATGAGAAGGAAACATAGAAGGTATGAAGTACGAATCTCGGAAAATTGAAAGTCATAAGCAATGAAATGAAACCCATATAGACCTATATCCTAGGCATTGAGCTGAAATGGTGTGGTATTGGCCCTTTTTAATTGGAAATTCATAGGGTTTACATACAACATGACAAATTGAAGAGGAATGGCATTGCATTTATCATCAGAAAGAACATTGCAATATCTGTTTTGATTTACATTGCTATGTGTGATAGTGATTCTCACAAGGAAGTCCAGTTAATGCTCAGAGAGCTCACTGCCATCGAGGGCAGGGTAAAACTGCCCATGTGGGTGTCTGAGATTATAATTTTTTCATGCGAGTAAAGCCTTCTCTTTCTCCTGAAGAGTGGCTGGTTTCAAATTGCTGAATCTCATTGAGGTTAGCAGCCCAGCTCATAACCACTATGCAACCAGGGATTTCCAGTTAAAACAACATTTAAATTTACTCATCAACCACTAAAGCCAGATTTGACTACCATCTTCATTTGAAATTGATCAAACATGATATCAGAATGCATTGATATTTACTGGTGATTGGAATGCAAAAGTTGGAAACAAAGAAGGATCAGTCGTAGGAAATTATGACTTTGGTATTAGAAACAAAGCTGGAAATCACATGATGGAATTTTGCAAATATTGCAATTTTTTTTCAAACCACATAAACAGTGACTATCCATGTGGACTTCACAAGATGGAATACGCAAGAATCAAATTGACTGCATCTGTGGGAAGAGGCAATGGAAAAGCTCTATCATCAGCCAAAACAAGGCAGAGGCTGATTAAGAAACAGACCGTTGCTCATATGCAAGTTTAGATTGAAGCTGAAGAAAAATTAAAGCAAGTCCACTAGAGCCAGGTAAAGCCTTGTGCATATCACCCTAATTTAGAGTACATCTCCAGATCAGATTTGGCATATCGAAGACTAATGACAGACCATTTGAGTTATAGAGGGACATCAAGAGCATCAACTATGAAGAAAACAAGACAGGAAAGAAAGAAAACACTCAAGTGTATGATCAGAAGAGACTGAAATGTGCTCTTGAGCATAGAGTAGCTCAAGGAAATAGAAGTAAGGATAAAGTAAAAGAACGAAACAAAGGATTTCAAAGGGCAGCTTGAGAAGACAAAACACTAAGGTGCACAGCCATGGATGGGATGACATCGTGAACAGCATACATGAAGAAAGCAAAGGACCACCGACCTGCTCCCATCAGGGCGGTTATGACTCACTGCAGTCCTATGTAGGGTTTCTGAAGTTGTAAATCTTTCCCGGAGCAGCTAGCCTTATCTTTAGTCGCCTGCTTAGTAGCCTAATGCTTATCTACCAGTGCCACTCAAAAATAAAAACAACAACAAAGAAAAAAGGACCAAACTGGGTATCAGAAAAGACTCTGACACTCTTGAATGAGTAGCTAAAGTTAATGGAAGAAATGATAGCTGAACAAAACTTTCAAAGGGCAGCTTTAGTAGAGAGAATAAAATATTATCATGAATTGTACAAAGATGTGGAGTTAGAGCCACAGAGGAAGACCATACTCAGCGTATTTCAAGCTGTAGGAAATGAAAAGAAATTGAGTTGTAATATTTTGAAGGACTTCATGGGCAAAATATTGAATGGTGCAGAAGAATTAAAAAAAAAGATGGAATACACAAAGCCAGTGTACCACAGAGAATTGGGTGACATTCTGTCATTTCAATAGGTGGGATCTGATCAAGAACTGAAGGAAGGAATTCCAGCCCGCATTGCAGGCAACTGAAAACAAAACCAAACTTGCTGCCATTGAGTCAATGACTGACTCATAGCAACCCCATGAAAGTTTCCAAGACTGTGACTTTACGGGAGTAGAAAACCCAGCCTTTCTCCCAAGGAGCTGCTGTTGGTTTCAAACTGCTGACCATGCGGATTACAGTCCAACATGTAACCCCTACACCCCCGAGTTCCCAGAGCTACAAACAAGGCTCCAGGAAATGAAAGAATGTCAATTTAAATGTTTCAATGGACTGACGCAGCCCTGGAAGTGTTCGCTCATCTAGGCCAGCTGACTGGAAGAGACCCATATCTGTGACCATTCTTAAGAAAAGTGATCCAGCATAACATAGAAATTAGGGAACAACACAAGCAAGAAAACTTTTGCTGAAGATAATGAAAAGACAGTTGTAGCAAGATAACAACAAGGAACAGAGAGAAATTCAAGCCAGATTGAAAAGAGCATGGCACCAGGGATGTCATTGTTGATATTTGGGCATAAAGAGTTAGAGCCTCAGAAGCTCTCAGAAACCATTCTACCCTGAAGCTATCTACGAGTTGGTATAGATGGCATTTTGATTTTTTGTTTGTTTGTTTGGTGGCACCTGTGATATCATTATTGATGTTAGATGGATCTTGGCTGAAAGCAGATAATTTCAGAAAAATGTTTGTTTGTGCTTTATGGACTATGCAAAAACATTTGACTGTGTGGATCACAACAAGCTATGGATAACATTGTGGAGAATAAGAATTCCAGAAAACTTCATTATGCTCCTGTAGAACCTGGACCTGGACCAAGAAACATTCATTTGAACAGGTCCCAGGAATACTGCATGGCTTAAAGTCAGGAAAGGTGTGTGTCAGGGTTGTATTATTTCTTCATACACACTCAATCCGTACACTAAGCACATAATCCAGGAAGCTAGACTATGACGAAGATGGAGGCAATAGGTTTGGAGAGTGGCTTATTAACCGCCTGTGATGTTCAGCTGGTATAACTGCTTGCTGAAAACAAGGAGAACATCAAGTATTTGTTCCCGAAGATCAAAGACTGTAGCCTTCATTATGGATTGCAATTTGATATAAAGAAAACAAAAATCACAAATGCATCAATGGACAACTTGATAAGTGGGGAAAATTTTTTGAAGTTGTCAGGAATGTCATTTTTCTGGAATCCACAATCAACACTCACGGAAGCAACAATTGAGCAATAAAACTCATACTGTATTGGGCAGACCTGCTGCACAAAGATCCCCATAGTGATCAAGGACAAAGAGGTGCCTTTGAGGATTGAAGTGCACCTGACCTAAGCCATGGTATTTTCAATCACCTCATATGCATGTGCCAGTTGGACACTGAAGACTCCAACCGGGAAGACTGAAGAGGAATAGATGCATTTGAATTAAGGTACTGGCGAGGAATATTGAAAGTATCATAGACTGCCAACGAACAAACAAATCTGTCTTGTAAGAAAGACAAGCCTAGAGTGCTCTTAAGCGAGGACAGCAAGACTTCATCTCCCACACTTTGGACGTGTTATCAGGAGAACCAATGCCTAGAAATGAGCATCATGCTTGATATAGAAGAGAGTCAGCAAAAAGGAAAACCCTTGGCAAGTGGATTGACACAGTTGTTAAAACAACCAGCTCAAACATAACAATTGTGAGGCTGACTCAGGACTGGGCAGTATTGCATTGTGTTATACATAGGCTTGCTATGAGTTGGACCTGCTTGACCACACCTGAGTATCATATGTTCCTTTATGTGTACGTGTGTGCATAGTATCTCATACATAGTTTTTATTTACTCTAAAATGGTCATTTTACATAAATCACATGGTATCTTCTTAAAAATCAGTCTCATTAAGTGTTGAACTTAAGCTGTAAGATATTGATTTCTAATAGTAAGCAAGTAAATTTCTTTTGTACTTAATCAGAATATCTTATTAAACGGTTCACATTTTCTTCTGCTTACTGGCTTTTAAGCAGAACTCTAATGCCTTCCACACATAATTCGGAGGGTGGACTCCTAGACAATACACTAACCAAGCACAAACCCATTTGGCTGTTAGGCTAGGTCTGATTATAAATGGCAATGCATGCTTTTCTCTGAGCTTCATGCTAGAAGCTCATACCTTGCTGACAGCTGCCTTCCCTTGTTTAAGTGATACATTATGAAAAATACTCCCATTCTGTTTTGTTCACACAATAGAACATATTCCAGACTTTGTTTTGACCACCGTGGTGAAGTGTGTGTTGACATATCTTTGCAGTCAGAGTGGGCTGCCAGTGGATAACTGACACATTCCTGCCGTCAGGATTTCGGCCTCTCATAGGTCACAAAGGGCATCCATTATAGCTACTGAGAATGGTGTGCTTGCTGTTTGTTTGTTAGAAAAAAAGTAATAATTACGCAGGGTTTTAGTCACACACTTGGATAGTAAAGTTAAAATTTTGGAGGGAATACATACTGACTGAAAACTAATTACAGAAAAAGTGAATTATTTTCACTAAGTTTAATTTTAATATAGTGTATTTGCTTGCAAATCAAGGAATTTATGTGCATATGGTCACTGGAAGATTTAGGTATGATTTGCAAACGGTTCCTCTCCCACACAATGATCAGGTATCGTGGATTCCAGTAGGAGAGCACTTCACAATTAGTAATAGAAAATACAGTGACATTGTGAAGTCTTAGATTTGTTTTAGCTGAGTATGAAAAAATAAATTTTCCGTCAGCACTAGTGTTGACAAGGGGACGTTGGTATACAATCAGTAGTTCTCTAAACTGAATTAAGAAAATGAAGGTGGCGTTCAGGGGAAAGGAGCCCTGGTGGTGTAGTGGCTATGCATTGGGTTGCAACTGCGAGGTCAGCAGTTTGAAAGCACCAGCAGCTACGCAAGAGAAAGACTGGCTTTCTACTCCCTTAAGCTGACGGTCTCAGAAAGCCCAGGTGCAAGGTGTTGCGATGTGCAGCACTGACTCATGCCAGGAGTTTTGGGGTTCTTTTTGTTCAGTTTAAAGGTTCCAAAATGGATTCCTTCATACACTTTACCAATGCTTTTAATTATATAGGTTTAAAATTATCATTTGGACTTTCAATTTTCAGAATTCATCAATATTTAAGAGTTCAAGGTTTTAGTTTATCAATGACATTTTTGCTTTTCAGATTTTTAAGACATTTTGGAGGATTTAAAAAACAATTTCTTTGGCTTTAATTTTTCTTTTCCTTTTTTTAAAAAAAAAATCATTTTAGGCTTTTACAGTGGGAATTCCTATCCAGAACCAGCCTTTTATAATCCAATTCCGTGGAAACCGATTCATATGCCTCCTTCCAAAGAAGCTAAGGATCTATCAGGCAAGAAGAATAAACGGCCTGTGATAACTCAGCCACACCAGTCAGCCTCTCTAGTAGCTCATAAAGCCAGGAGCAATCTTTGCCTTGGAACCCTGCATAGAATACAGAGATAGTGTATGTGGGAAAGAGATCATATGTTTTTATTTGGAGCTATTTAAAGGTAGATATCATTTTTTTATTACTTAATCAGTACCTCAGTGTTTGCTGTAATGACTGACAGATTCCCATTTTTACATTTGCATGTGGAGTCCTTAGAGTAATTGAGGAAGATGTTTCATATATATATATATTTATTTTTATAAATGTTTCAAGATTGATCTTGGCATATTGTTTTGCAAGATAAGCGATCAAATCTTTAATTATGAATTGTATTTGTATTTAGTGTGTATTAAAGCTGAACTGTAATACCAATAAAGTCAAGAATTTTTCTGGCCCTTTGCACTTTGTGTTCTCATTTTATGTTTATGAACATAATAAGATTACAATTAAATCGTTCAAATGACCATTTTAAACCTGTATGTATTCTTCAGGTAACCCTGAGTAGAAACTACAGCCATAGCTCTGCTGTCTAATGGCTCCAAGCTTGAACTCTCCAGTTCTGTGACCGCAGAGTTTCAAAAAACATCGGCTTGGTGTTTGTAATTTTGCTCAATAGTCCAACTGAAAGTCCAACTTGAAAAAGCCTGTATGGGCCGAGAATGAGTTTCATGTTGCATCTTGCCTCAGACACAAAGCGGTGATGCCTCAGTCTAAGCACAGCTCTTGCTCAGACAGCAGTCTTGTGTTAGTGTTAAACATTAAAACATTTGTCATTGTGCTTTTGTGTTTGTGTGTGTGCTTTATTAGCGTGAAATATGGTAATTGTATTGTTTTGATTGATGTATTTATTGTGTTTTGATGGTGTAGTGCAGGGGTGCTCAATATGTTGATCGCGATCCACTAGTAGATCACAAATGTAGTGTGGGTAGATCGCATGGCATTAAAAAATATAGACATAAGCCTATCATCAATCCCATCACTTACAGCGCAGCCAATCAGATGCAATCTTAGGTGTCAAACGCATGCGCAAACAACTGCGCTAAGTGCAGCAAAACTGACAAGCTAAGTTATCGCCAATTTTTAGATCTGGGTGTTTTTTTCTCTTAAACGTAAGAAAGGGTATTAAAATGAGTGGGAGAGCTGGACCAAGTAAGAAAACAAAAATGTATCACTTTCATACGGAATGGGAGATTTTGACATTATAAGCCGACATTCAGCCGAAGCCCAGAGCGCATGAACAGTTCTGAAACTTTTTTTTTTTAATCAATTTATTGGGGCTCATAAAATTCATCACAATACATAGATCAATTGTGTAAAGCACATCTATGCATTTGTTGCCCTCATCATTCCCAAAA